GACAGGTTGGCAGTGACGGTTATACCCGCCCTGTCAGAGGCCGACGGGGAGAGGTAACATATTTCTGCTATAAGGAGTTTAGCATCAAGGCGGGAGAGGAATTAATCTACGGTACGCGCTATCTCCACTCCTAGTCTTCATTTTCCTCCTTGCTTCTCCTACCAAGTACTAACTTAATCATCGGAGAGTTCCCGCCGGGTAACTCCCTCCAGAAATTTTCTTCTTCTCAGGTATCTTCCAGGAACTACGTGAGCGCCAGGTAGGAGTGACCGGATCGTGCTATATCAAATGGTATTCCGCCATCCCATTTGAAGGAATAGTCATTTCCTTTCTTTCCTTTAGGAATAAAATCTCATTCTTACTTATTCTAATTTTCATTTTCATTCCTGTTTCAAATAGATTATTAGAATAGATCAATCCAAGTTCGATTCTGAATGATTTCGACTTTAATTCCAATTCCAACTCTGATTATAAACCAAATAGACCCTCAAACATTCAGCTTTTCCACAACACTTATCCAGCAAGAAATTTCTCGTTGGTGAGAGAGGGATTCATTAAATTGGGTATCAACTAATTCCTAGTCAAACTGAAGATATGGAGAGAGGGAGTTTGTTGAGCGACCAGATTAGGTTATGAAGAACAAATATTGAATTATAGACTGTGACCACTAGCCAGAGGTCAACTTAGAAGTTAGAATCATCAGCCAACAAAGTTGTTAGGCTAGGCGGAGACCAGCACTTTTGGGAAACAAGGGGAAGCCCCCCATGGCCCTACATCCAAAACAGTTCATGGTCGCCAAATTTGACACAAAAGCAAAGTTCCTTGACGGGTCAACCTGTTATTCTGTTAAAAGCTAACTAGACCAATAAAGAGGGCTATCCATCCTTAAGAGTAAATACCACTTAGCTGCACAAAAAAAAAAATAATAATAATACTAATAATAGAAAACAAGAGTAAAACTTGCAGCCGTTCAATTTATTTATTGTTTATTATATATTACAGTGAGCGTGGGCCTATAGTATATACTATATACCTTTCTCGGCCTTTTGGCTAAGATCAAGTGAGTGTGGACCTATGGCTTCATTTGCAGTAGGCCATGAATACAATGACTTCATCCAAAGCAATATGCATATGTTGAAGTTTTGTTACTTGAGAACTTTATTTCAAATAAAGTCGTCCATGGTCCATTCGCCCCTTCTAACCATCAATATAACCAAACAGCAATTAGTAGGCTAGAGAGTGGACGAATGGGGAAAAATGCTTAATCAAAAGCATCCAATAAAAGCTAAACGACCATAGTTTTCTCTTACCTCCCATACAAATAAAGATAGAGATTCATCTATTTTTCACACATTTCCTTTAGGCTGTGTTTGGCCTGAAAGAAAAGGTAGGGAAAATAGATAAAATTTTATTTCAAATCAAACACAACCTAAAAGAAATGATTGAAAAATAGATAAGTCATTTTAATTCGTATGGCAGGAATTATGATTGATTTGTTTTTCTTTCGAACCAAACACAATCTTAGCTTACAGATTTATCCCCCAAGCCAGGTGCAGGGAGGATTCAATCCCAAGTCTCCACTAAGGCCAGAAGACCTTACCAACTAACTGGTTGACACCTTGCAGGAACACCCCCTAAATTTGAGGGTGGTGAAAGGCTCCAAAGTTGTGTTGTTTCACTAATAACATTGTTCCAATCTATAACTATCGGGCCATAACTACTGTTAAATTTGTGAGTCTTCTAATCTCATTACTTCAAATCAAGTTCTTTTGGTCTCTCTACGAACTCTCATTCAACCTCTCAGCTGTCAAAAAATAAAACTTTTGCTTCTCTCTTATTTTATATCAAACCAAACATAGCTTTAAATTTTGAACCCCCAAGACCCCAACTTGAATTACCTTAATATTTCCTATAGGTACAACTTAAAAGAACCTTCTATGCACAACATCACGAGTCTACTTTCTCCAGAAATGAGCGTACTCATGAAAACATATAAAAACAAATATTTGTTTTTGCATCATGTTCTTCCTTCCATCTTTATTGCCCTCTTCGTGGACTTGAATGCAGTGAAGAATGTTGGAGCTTGCCCAACATTATTGTGACTGCAGGGATCAGATTGCATAGAGGAGCGCTTGAGGATATCAAAGAGCGAAGAACCTGAATCTGCTGCAGCTGCAATCCTAGTGTCTCGGCTACTAGATTTGGATTGAGAGCTACGAAACTTAGCCGATGAATTCCTCACAGGACGGCATTCCTTCTGACTCTGCGTGATGGAATTTGTTGAGGATGAAAATTAGAACAAATGGAGGAAAACACAGGCGAGAAATTCTTATAATACTATCGGGCATCAACTTATGAGAACATTAATAACAAAACTCCTCTTTTCTACCCTTTTCTCTGGCAAGACAAACTTGGAGTGGGGCAGGGAGGAATTCGGAGATTAGAACATGAAAGATAAGAACAATTACAATGAAATATAAAGCACTGAGACCATAGTCATGCAAATAAAGCTTACCACATCTGAAGAACCTTCTGATGTTGAGATCCCACTTCTGCTATTGCTATCATCTCGTCCAAATATAAACGACCTGACCGTACTTGATCCGTGCCTATGGGATGACGATAGGGAGTTGCTAGGTGCTCGGCCCACAAAAGATGACTGCAAATACATACCACGAATTACATTAACAGCCCATTTAAGCTCAAGATTATATTTTAATTACCATTGTTAAAAACAATGTAATTTGTCATTGCACCACTATAACGTTCAAGAAGACTGCATTGATCGACTATGGTCTATGGATTGGGAACTGAATCTCAGCTTGGAATGAGTACAAATACAAATTTGTAGAGTGTAAAGCCTTGTATTTTGTATATAATTGTATTGTACATATTTGTATTTGTACTCCTTCCAAACTGAGATTGAGTAACAAAAAAAAAAAGCTTCTAAAACATGACAAAAAAATCATTCCTAGAGTGCTATATGTGCAAAATTTTACAAGAAATAAGTGTGAATGGTTTTTTTGAAGATTTTTCAAATTTTTATAGGTAAGTTTTTTCGATTTTTTATAATATATTGTGATTTCTTTTTTTCCTGAATGTTTAAATTTATGTTGATCTACAGTTCTTACATTCAAAATCACATTTTTGTGCATTCAATAGATTTGTGGAAATTTCATAAAGATATTTGGGAAAATATAAATTAACAAAAAAATTGAGAATGTAATTTTTTCTGTCTATAAAGACTAAATATGTTTTAGATCTATGGATTTATCTATCATTTCCATATAATAATTGAAAATTCTTCTTTATTTTTTATTTTTAGAATTAAAAAATAAATAATAATTAATTATATTTTATCATTTAATCACAACAAATGAATATATTATAATTCTATTGATGATCTATCATATCTACAGACCAATTGAAATTTCTTTAACATTTTTTATTTTTATATTTTTTGAGTTAAAAATTTAATTAATTAATTATATTTTATCATTTGATCACAAAGATTGAATATATTATAATTCCATGGATGATCTATCATATCTACAAAGCAATTGAAGTTTCTTCTTTAATAACTATTTTTTGAATATATTATATAATGTTTATTTATTTTTTATAATTTTTGGATATAAATAATTATTTATTATATCTTCACTTAGAAGTTGTGTAAATGCATGTTTTATAGTTGGATAGGAGAGTTGGGGTTTTACCATCCAATAAAACATTAAAACTTAAGAATTATAATTTATAAATCATAGTTAAGCATATGAATTTTAATGAAGTTATTATTAACTACAATATATTTCATCATAAAATCATTAAAATATATTAATTTTAATGTATATACACCCAAGGTTCAAAGTATCGGAAACGTTATGAGTATAAGAAAGGAAAATTTAAGAGACGTATCGGGATACACCTTGGATACTCATGGATACAAACAAAAAAATTAAGATACGCATGGAAACACATGGAAATGCTATAAATACTCTAATAAATTATAAATAAACACCAATATCACTAAATATAAGACATAAGTGAGCTATTTATGCATAAAAATAGCACGTTTAGTGGGTTTTATGAAAAAAAAAATATTATAATCAATAAACGAGAAGTCGGGAACAGAAACATACTATCTAATTATGGACATGATAGATCAAGTAATTATTTTGCATGTTTTATTCTAATTTTCTAAAAACTAAATAATTATTTATTTTTATTCAAATAATTATTTTACATGTTTTATTCTAAAAATTAAATTAAAATTAAGAAAAGCAAATATGTAACAAAAAAATTGAATGGATTTATGGACATAATAGATGAAATAATTATATTACATATTTTATTCTAAAAGTAAACTAAAATTAAAAAAAATAAATAAATATTAATGATTCAATGTTTTAAAACATAGAGGTGTTCCACTACCTAGAGGGGTGAAACATAATTTAGAACGCAAGAGGCATAAGCTTCCTTAAGAGGAGGAAGGAGGAAGGGGGGAGGGGGCAACAAAAATGTTTTTCTTAATCTTTAATAAAAATCTTTTATATTAAAAAAAAATGCATAACATTTGTTAAAAGGAGGGTCTTATCGACCCCAGCTAAAGGGGGAGGGGGCAAACCACTTTCTTTCCCTTTATCTTTTTCTAACATTGGCTGAAAATGTAAAAAAAAATTGAAAAAACATATTTATTTTCACTCCTTTTTACAAAACCTTAAAAAAACTTATTGAATCTTGGCATCTTGCAAATTTATAAATGTTTTTGGCAAATTTTTACAAGATTTGAGTCTTTAGAAAGGTTAAAAGGCTTCTTGGAGGGTTTGGGAAAGAAAGAGAGTTTATGAAATGGGTTTAGAAGCCCTCTTTCAAAATCACTTCTATTTGTATTTTAACAACAATAAAATCATTGTGTATCGACCGATATGCTACCGATACACACGACCGAAACTCATCGATACGATGTCAATACGCCTTCGGCACGACGAAAAGGGACGGTACAATTGATTTCGAACCGTTCCCTGTGCCGAAAACCTTAAGATACAGTACAATACAAGCCGATACATGACGAAATTTTGAACTTTGTATACACCTCATTAAGGTCTTATATTTAGTGTTATTGATGTATTTTTATGATTTATTAAAGTATTTATAATGTTTCAAAGTGTATCTATATGTATTTTAGTTTTTCTTTGATATACATGTGTATCCAAGGCGTATCCCGATATATCTTTTAAAATTGTCTTTCTGATTAGGGATGTTCATAAGAAGGCCCAACCCGGACCAACCCAACCCGAGTCAGCCAAGTTTTCATCAGCACCAGTCAATTTCGAGTTGTACAAATTCATAAACCAATGGTTCGGGTTGGTTTTGGTTTCCTTGTGTGAAAACCGAAACCGACCCGAACCGAACCAACTAAGTTCCTACTTAACTATTTAAATATATATTTTGATTTTAATTTATATATTTTTTATATTTAAAACTGTTAAATAAAGATATTTCAGTTTTACATAAAAACTAAAAATATCTGACAACCCAAACTTGCACCACACAGGCACATGGCTCATGGGGGGCATGGATGAACTTAGAGCTAAAACCAACCCGACTCAAACCGACCAAGTCGGTTGGAAAAACCTAAGTAAACCGACCCAACCCAACCCGTGAATAGCCCTATTTCTGATACACTTGACATTTCCAATACTTTGAACCTTGAGAACATCCTTTTTTTAACATTCAAGCAAAACACTGCCTGAAAATTCCTGCCTCCAACCAAAGGAGGGGGGATCCAGCCACTTAATTAAGTATATTAATGTTGCTACCTAGACCACTTAATTAGGCTATGTTTGGTTTGAAGGAAAAGGTAAGGAAACTTATACAAGGTTTGTAAAGGTCCCCCTATCTTTCACTTCCTTTCCCTACTTTTTCCTTCAAATCAAACACAGCGTTAGTGTTTTCTATGTTTGAATTTTAAACATGGGTGTTATTTTGGTAATTTTGTACTTTCATTTTGGGGGTTAGACATGGAAATACGGCAGTTCAGTCTTCTTTTATGTTCCTTTAAATTATCTTAAAAATCGCTTAAAACTTAAAATATGTATTCCATTGGAGAAGCCTGCAAAAAAAAGGTAAAAGGTTAAGTTTGTGTTGAGTTGTGCCTTCATGCCTTGAATTCCAGTCTGTGGCCCACTCCATGATCAGAGCCGAAGCTTGTGAAGAACCTGATTGGGAATCCCGGCAGAGCCCCCACAGCACAGACCCGGCCAGTTTTGTATATGGGTCTTATGCATGCATGCATGTGCAATTGTGCATATGTTTGTAGGGCTTTTTGAGTGTATCTAATCTTTGCATCTGCCACTCATACAGAGAGAGCTTCAAGTGTATTGGGTGCAAGGGTGGTTTTGTGAGGCTACTCAATCCTATACTGCATTTTTACTAATTTAGTATATTTCTGCTCCCCCCTTGCCCGTGAAGATAGGTCAAAGGCCAAACCATTTTGTTCTCTTTTCAGAATATCTGTGCTTTGTTTTGTGCAATTCGAACTTGTTTGATTGTGGGTGCGTGTAACAATTTGTATCCAGTCCATCCCTCCAACTCTTAAGACCCAAATAGCTGGGACCAACATAATGGATGATGGCTAGCAGTAATCTAACCCACACCCAATACAAGTACACAAATAGTTTAGAAAACTCTGGGTTTACAAACTTATTATGGCTGTCCTCTTCATTGTCTTACTTTCCAAGCTGTCATTTACTGTAGCTTCTTGTCTTCTTGATGGGTGCTAAACTATTACTGAACACTCTCCTTAGGAGTTTTCATCATCAAGCTAGCAAGTAATGAGATCATATTCTAATCCTTTAATTTATCTATTATTTTCCTCTAGAAAGTTAATCTAGAGAACACTACCATGGACCATCTAAACCATACTGACAAAAAAATTTGACAATTAAAGACAATATAAATCAAATCCATAACACCCACCCTCAAAAACCATCATCCTCTTTAAGTTGTTTTAATATATTTGCACTATTTTGCTAGTTTCACCAATTTTCCCATTAAAATTTCATCACTTCTGGCATTTGCAATAAAACAGACAAAATAGCAGTTATCCAATCATGAAAATTTGGTCCATCAAAAATACAGGCCATTAACTAATGGGAATCTTAACTATTTGGGATCTTGGGGATTGGTTGGGTGGGGGGACTGGTACAGGGCTGTCACTGGTCTCTGAAAGTCCAATGCCCAACCCAAATTCCAATCTACGTATTTCAGATTCAGATGATCCGTTTGCATTATTGGATCAGATGCGGATCTGATCCAAGTCGGTTAAATTTTATAAAAATTAATACACATACATATATATTATTGATAATATATAATTATTTAAAGTCAGTAATTATTTTTTTATAATTTAATTCTTCTCTATTTCAAAATTGATGAAACAAATTCAGATTAGATCCAAAAATTCAATAGGATCCAAGGCCCCCCTAAATCTGATCAGATTACAGATTGGGTTTGGATGTGTTTATAAATCAGGCCAGATTCATAAAGGCTAGAACCATCCCAATTACACTCCAATCGTACCTAACCTCAGGTAGTTTATCATGAACTGTTCTCAAAATCAACCCAGTATTCTGATACTTCCTAGCCCAAGATTTTACCCTCACACTAAGCAATAACCCATATAAGGTCACTGTATATCTCCTATCCATGTCACGAAGCTATAATGCAGTTCACCCAATAATGTCAACTCAATGCAAAGTGGGAAATATCTATTTACCTTAGAAGCACTATTACTGTTTCCTCCTGTAACCAGCATATTGAAAAAGGCTGCATAATAAAAAAAAACAATAAGAAACAGCTAGTAAATTGGAAAGAATAATCTTGTAGACAGATAAGAACAGTCAAGTTATCTTTAATACTATCAGTTATCTTTTCTCAAAAAAAAAAAAAAAAAAGAACAGTCAAGTTCTCAACTGAGTGTCTTACATGTTGGCTTTGCCTTTTTCTTTGTATCAGGGGCAACATTCAGCTTCTTTATAAGACCAAAAACTTCTCTTGAACTCTCATCCTCTGCTGGGGACAAGAATGAGCCCTGATCTTCCTGTTGCATATGATAAAGTACACGAACTCTTCCAAATCAAAATTAAAAATGAGACTAAGAGACAAAGTTATAAAGAAAATAAAAGAAACAGAGGGTATACAAGAAAAATACTAACAGTACAAATTTAAAACATATGCATTAGTAGAAACATATGACAAGAAAAATAAACTAACAAGTTATAACCAAATCCCTGTGGAAAGTGGAATCCAGGGGAGAACTCACATTTTTCTCAAGTAAGCGCTGTCTAACTAGCCTCTGCTCTGTTTCCTCGTCATCAGATGACAAGACATCATCCTTATCGGTAAACATCCAAGGAATCATCTGCTTCACTTTTTTTGTATTTATTCGGGTAATATTTGTTGGAAGCATATCATCTTCAAACTCATCTATGGAACCCTCACCAAACTCTCTTTCCTCTTCATCTTCAAGCATAACTGTGTCTCTCTGTTTCCGACCAAACTTTAACCTCTGCAAAACATTATCTGTTGCAGCTGCATCCTGTTGTTCAAGCCACTTCTGATGAAGCTCATCACGCCTTTCACTATCTATTGGATTTTCCTTGTATCCAGTCACTATCAGATCATGTAGTTCTTCAACCCCTTCATTTTCTTCATCCTCTTCATTTTCTTGGAATCTCATTAAATCATGATCACTATCATCTTCTTCTTCAGCTTCATCGTCAACAAAAGCTTTAACTGGATCACCTTTTGGAGACAAAACCTCACGACTTGATTTGTGCGGATGAGGATCAATGTTCTCCTTGTCATCATCTTCTTCATCAGAACTGTAATATACACAGAAATTAAGAATGCATGATAATAAGATGTCATAATTGAACAAAATTAAAATGGCATAAATAATCCAAATTTAAATTCCTTTGGTTTCATGAAGCAACCAGAAAATGGTTTCCCAATGAAGTTGACAAAAAGAAAGAGAATAAAGCTTCGGTTGTATTTTTTCAGGCTTTGGAATAAATTGGGTATAAAATTGTTTGCAAGATCTGGTTCTATATTGAGTTGCTAGAGTGCCATTACAAGTAATATATTCAAGATACTGTACATAAATAGTGGTCTGGGAAATAAGAAGAGTGGCTGGCTTATCAGTTATCAATGAGTTTTGAGCACAGCTAAAAAAGAAAAAAAAATAAAATAAAATGCATGTAACCACAAAAAGGAAAAATGCAGTAAGCATAATTTAACAATGGATATGGCACTAAACAAAGTGGAATTGCAAAAACAGGACTTGTGTAGCTGACCCCATATAGTTAGGAAAAGGTTTAGATGATGATGGTTTAACTTACACTTCATCAGGTGGAGCAAAATCAAGCTTTAAGTTCATAGCAAGCAAAGATGGTGCTAGAACTTCTTCAGGACTCTCAGGGTGATCCTCCCCAGCAGATTGGGATTCAGAGAAAAGGTCCTGCAGTAAAGGCAAGAAAATGGTACCCAAGCAATTACCTTCCTATCTTTACAACCCATTAGCAGGAAAAGCAAATACATGATAAAATTAGATATAGAAAAATCAACCTGAGTGCCATCGACTGGATACCGAAATCCATCTCTTGATCCACTGCCCTGAGCCTGCAGTTAACTAGCAATCATGGCATCATACAGTTCATCTAAAATAACAGACATAAAAGAGATACACTAAACTGTATTCACATCACATCCTTGTTATTGTCAACATTGTGAAAGACATCTTCTTGTTTTCTAGATTTGCAATAAAAGTAAACACTTAATAAGAATGAAACATAATTTTGTTGAGACTTGAGAATAATAAATATAACAGCCATGCACTTGGTGCCACTCCTATTAGAACCAGAATACAACTGGGCTATTCTATTTCCTATCATTAAAGGAAAAAAGAAAACAATGCATTCTGCTGTACGTATATAATCTCAATGTGTAGCTACATCCTACATTCATCATTCTATAAATCAATTTACTTGGTCTATGAGAAATGATATCCCAGAGCAACCTAAGCCAGCTAAAAGCCTAAAACACCACAACCAATCTTGTCATGGTTACCAGTCTCCTGAGAAATGATGAAAAATACAAGTTAGAACATCCCCTAGGACATTATTCCATTCATTGAAGCAGCAAATTAATGCATATAGGACTCAATTTATTTGGTTTGTTACAATTAAAGCCACATTTGCATCACATCCAAAGGACACTAAAAGATCATAAGTGGTTTTCCAATTAAATGGATATGAAAGTTCATCTACTACTATATACTCACCATACTAGACGAGACATTTTCTCGATCTGAATGAGCTGAAGCATTTATGGATCCATTCACGTGAATGGCATCTGAACTACCATCCACATTCAGGTGATGCATGTTTGTGTCCTACAACCATATAAACATGTCTTCCTGAGTTGATACAAGTAGATTGCAAAAACACGCCATAGACTTTCTAGGATAACATTAGTGTTTAAAAGCGCAAGGCACAATTTAAAAAAAAAAAAAAAAGTAAAGTGCAAAAAAACAGAAAAGGGAAAATGCATACTTGTAGTTTAAGCTCTGTTATAAAAAAACCTATTAGCTCAAATTTAAATATATAAACATAAAACTCGTGCACTCAACATATTCCAATTTTCATGTAGAAAAAATAAATATAATATACGAATCAGATTCATGCACTCAACAATTCATGCAAGTTTCTTCATTTCTTTTCCAATCACATTACCCTAATTCTGCAAGCTGCTTTGTACCTAGCCCCTAGCTCAGCTGCCAAGCTTTAAAAAAATGCAAAAAGCACAACATTTAGCTAAGAAGCACACATAAGCTGAGGCACAAGGTGCACCAGTCAGGCACCTGTATAAAGGCAAGGGACAAGCCTTGAAATGCACCTTTTGGATCACTAGATAATACCACTTTTAAGAGCTTTTGAAATAAGTAGAACTAAAATAAAATAGGAGTGGATGTCATGATACACTTAGCATTGGAGAGCAAGAGATAACTCAATGCAACCTTTTTCCCATATTTCGGTTTGATAATTCATAACAAGGCAATGATTAAGGAGGATGTCACCCATAGAGCAAGATGAGCAAAATGGAAAGATGCATCCAGAGTTTAATGTGATATGTGAATCCCACTTAGAGGATGCCATCCAGGTACATTCTATATAACAGTTGTAAGACCAGCTATGTTGTATGAAGCAGAGTACTGGACAGTCACGAAACAAGTCCAAAAAATGAGTGTAGTAGAAATGCCTACGCTGAAATGGATGAGTGGAAAAACTAGAAATGATATGGTCAAAAATGAAGCCATTCAGAAGAACCTGAGAATAACTCCAATAAGTGGTAAAATGAGAGAAAATAGACTAAGACTATTTAATCACATGCAAAGAAGACCAACTACAGCACCTGTAAGTAGTTTGCTACGAGTTAAAGAGGCTAGAAGGGCAAGGGACAGTCCAAAAAGGACACGAATTAAAGTAGTAAGAAATTATTTAAGCATTTGTAGTTTAATAATTGATATGACACTAAACAGAAGAGGATGGAAAAACATGATACATGTAGCAAACCCCATATAATTAGCAGAACACTTAGATGATGATGATACCACTTTCATAACATACATAGTACATAAACCCATTTAAAAAATCATGGTAAAACTAAGAAGCCCTTGTCATATTCATGTACAAAAAACTTACCATGTTGGACTTGGAGCTAAATTTTTCATGTTGAGCAGCAGGACCACTAAATTCATCCACATTAGTGCCATCAAAACCATAATCTACACTGAGAAGATGCACAGAAGATCCCTGAAATCATATAGCCACATTTTTCCAGTTAAGATGTAATAATAGACATTCTGATAGTAAACCATATGAATTTAGATATTCACTAGCTGGTTAGAGACCCACTGTTTTTTCAGGGTTTGCATTCCCACTCTTGATACGTTCAGGATATGTGTCCAATGAACACTCTCTCAAAGAAGAATTGCTGACATCGAGGAAACCAAAAGTGTTTGAAATACCAGCTCTGCAACCAATAACGCAAACTTGTAAACATGGAGAAGGAAGAGTTGAGGAGCCCATTTAATATTACAAGTTGAATTACAGACTATGACTCACTTTTTTGACACCTCTGTCTTCCTTTTTCGGATCTTCTCCAGAACTGAAGATATTGACTTCCGTACAGAAACTACGGGCTTAAATGCTGCATCCCTAGTTTCTAATAAAAATATAGAATCCATGTAGAAAATTGCATCAATAATTTGTGATGTTAATGAGGCCAATAAAATAACATGGTTTTCGCCCTTTGTAATGAAATACAGATAGAAATTTCATCTAATTGAAACCATGAGCTAGTATTATACAGTCAGCGATGGTCTACCTCTTAAAAGTCTCTGAGATTCAGCGTGAAGTTGTTCAAGGCGAGCCTTCCTTTCCTGCAAAATTGCATACAACTTGTTTGGGCCCGAATTAGGGGAAAAAAGAACTGTAAATTTATCAAAAATTTTGTGGAACTACAATAAACTACCTTCTCTAGTCTTCTCTTTGTCCAACCAGACGTTTCAATATTTTCATCTCCACGACTCTTAACCCTCTTCTTATTTTTCTTCTCAACCGAACCTTCTAAGTTGTGCTGTTTATTAAGATATTTCTCCGCATTCAATTCTCCAGTTTCTTCTCTATGAGAGGCTTCTCCCGAGTCCTTGGTTTGATCTTCTCCTTTTCCATCAAATTCATTAGTCGTAGCATCCAAAGAGCTCAGCTGAGATTCTTCTTCCACCTCCGGTGTTGGCAGTGGTTCCAATCGATCTCCATAGGCAAACAGTGGATCCAATCCTGGATCAGAATCCTTTTCAAAGTCGAAACTCTCCGTTCCCAAAGCAGACCCCGATAGATCCACCGATTCCCCGGTATCTGGGATTTTCGAAGACTCGGAATCTTCTTCATTGGGAGAAAGGAAAACGGATGCTGAATGACCTTGATCCGTGTGATGAAAGAGGGACTCATTTGAAACCCTATAAGCTTTCTTCAACCGCTTCAGTTTCCTTCCATCAACTGGAGAAGAGGCTTCTGCTGGATGTGACAAGATCTGGTAATCATCGTCGCTCTCCATCTTTTCTCCCCCGTTGAAAAATAAGACTTCTCAGAAATTATGTACAGACTCGATTGGTTTGAGCTCTTTAAGGCCTGCAATGGAGAAAACCAGACGGGTGATGTGTAAAATAGTGAATTTGGCGCCAAATATTTGAAATAAGGCGCGAGATTGTTTTGACTTTCTGATACAACAAATGACAACCACCGAGTCCGCGTTCCGTGAACCCGTGGGTTCATGGACGTGTGAATCCACCAATGAGAATCAACCACGTCGGTTGCGCAAAAAGAAGCTAACATCAACGCTTCACAAGGCCGTTAACCGAAGTGACCGGTTGAACCGGACACAAAATGAGCTAATTATCCTCTGAATATATCTCGGTTCGAGCCCTCCCTCCCATTTTTTTTTCTCCTCCACCGAACCCTGCCCCACACATCGGCGTCCGTCCATTCGAAAGCCGCCGGCTGCGAGAGTGTCTGGTTGTACGTTCTCTGGCCTCCTCCTCCTCTTCTTCTTCTACTTCTCCTTCAAACACAATAGTCTTTCTGGTTTTCGTTTTTCAACAAATCGAAGGTGAGTGAACCGAACCTCAGCTCACACCGACGGTCAGTCTTTAGTCGAACGAAGGTGACTGAAAACAAACTAATAAGATAAACTAGAAAAATCTAATCACGGGTACATTAACCAAAACCCAATATGAAATTAACGGTGCATTTGGTTTTCGAGAAATGGATGGGAAATGAAGAATTATTGAAAAATATTCTTTTTTTCATGTGTTTGTTTCAAATGAAAATCCGGGAAAGGAAAGGAAACACCAGTGACGCAAGTTCTCAAAAATCGGTAAGCGGGGTCACACTAATTTGGTGAGACCCCGCTGAGAAAGGAAAAAAAGGCGGGAAAAATTTCTCGAGAGCCCTCTCATAGACATCATCGCCTCCCTTCTTCTAGTCCAACGGTCACATCTCCGGCATCATCTCCATTTTTCTCCTGTTTCGTTTGATGGATGGCCATCGAAGTCTCACCGCCATCGTTTTCGACGAAGGTAGGCTTAGATCTAGCATGATTTAACTAGATCTAGCTTCTAACCGAATAGTCACTTGAGTTTATCCGCACTATCTCCAAGTCTGGATTTTGGAATATGATTGTTCCATATTTGGACTTTGTTCTCGGACACAGTAATATATCTTTTGATTCAAACATTTTTTTCCCAGTTGACCAAACGGAACAGGAAAATGAATTTACACATTCACGTGATCGACCATGCAATGTCATTGAAAAAGGTGAGAAGGGATGACAAACTTGTGTTAATATGTTTGCTGATAAATTTTCTTTGAAAATAAATACAGGAAAATGAATTTTGATCATAATGTTTATTGGGAAACAAACACTGGATACAAAAATAGGAAAAAATATATTCCTTTCTCATCCCATTCTTTCTAGGCAGCCAAACAAAGAACCAAAAAGAATATGAAAACAGTGTAAAATATCATAAACCACTGGATATAGGACACATAAACCTTGTAACACATTTCTTCTATGCTTAACACTACATACCATAACACAAACAAATTTACCCGTTCAGTGGTTGGGGTGCATCACAAGGTAGAAGGTGGTAGCCTCCAAATCCTTCTTTATCTTAGTGAAATCTCTTGTTATATGTCCAAATATACATATATATATATATATAAATCATTTCTTCCTAAACATAAACAAAAAAATTAGGGCTTCACTATATATTAATTTGACTTTTATTAGTTGATTTGGATAACAAATGAATCTTCTAAATTTATAAACTAGCACCACAAACAAAGTAATAAGCATAACGAACAGGGGAAAAATGTCTCTGAATCAATGCAGAATGAGTTCGAGACTGCTGGTGTGATGTGGTTCGGGTTCACTCACCTTCGTTCGATTGAAGATTGATCGTCGGTGTGAGCTGATGTTCGGTTCACCCACATTTGATTTGTTGAAAAACAAAAACTAGAAAGGCCATTATGTTCGTATGAAGAAGAAGAAGAGGATGAAGAGGAGGATGCCATAGAACGTACCGTCGAACACTCTCGCCACCGGTGGCTCAAGAGTGGATGGACGCCGGTGTGGATTGAGCTTGCCAGTGTATGGGGTTGGATTCGGTAGAGGAGAAACAAAAAATGGGAGGGAGGGTTCAAACCGAGAGATATTCAAAAGATGTTTGCTCATTGTGTCCGATTCAACCGGTCACTTCAGTTAACGACCATGTTAAGCATTAACATTAGCTTCTTTTTGCCTAATAGACGTGGTCGACTTTCATTGGTGGGTTCACACATCCCATGAACCCACATGTAGGGCTGTTCATAAGAAGGCCCATTCCGATCAAACCGACAAATCTGGACCGACCCAACTTGAGTCGGCCAGGTTTTCATCAGTATCGGTCGGTTTCGGGTTGTACAAATTCAAAAACCGATTGTTTGGGTCGGTTTCGGCTTTTTTTGTGTGAAAACCGAAACTGATCTGAGCCAAACCGACTTATTTCCTATTTAACTAAAAACTGGAATATCTGAAAATATATATTCCAATATCTATATCTAAAAAATATATATTATGAAATATGTCAGATATATATTTTCAGAAAATATATATTCCAATATATTTGTAT